ACGTCCCCTCCATAGCTGCACCCCATAGTAGCTGGAGCACAAGCAGACAACACAACACAGCCGCACCATAAGAAAAGGGGGGGAAGAATGGTGCAGAAAGCACTGGGATAGAGGATATGTGTGTGTGGGGGGAGTTCTCGTAAATTTCATTTTAACTAAAAATTACAGCTTAAATCTGCTTTTCCTAACTAGGCACTTTTTGTGTGTGAGTGTGCACGCGTGCACATGCACGCCTTTGAGTCACTGTGAACTCCTGGCGACTGTCTGGAACAGTCCCTGCAGTTTTCTTGGTGATATTTTTGGAAGTGGCTTGCCAGTACTTTCTTCCTAGGGCTAAGAGAGAGTGACTGGCCCAAAGTCCCCCACCTGGCTTCATGCCTAAGGCAGGACCTGAACTCATAGTCTCCTGGTTTCTAGCCTAGTGCCTTAATCACTACACCAAAGTGGCTCTCAACCAGGTGCGTATGAGATATATTATTCATTTGCATATTTAATCAATTTATTATTTATTTATTTATATATCAAATTTGTCACCACCCATCTCGTTGAAAAGCGACTCTGGGCGGTTTACAAAGGGGATAAAATCAATTAAAATACAATGTAAAAACAATCTTAAAAGTAATAAATAAATTCCAAGAATGACCAAATTGGTGAATAATTTATTTATTTATAATTTATAAGTTGCCTCAGTTGCTGAAGCAACTCTAGATGGTGAACAATGCATTAAAAAGGTTAAAGAAAAATACCCCAGTAAGTCAGAAATAAAAACCATACTAAACTACCATATCAGGGAAGAAAAATACCATAAACACCAAGAGAATAATATCCCATGTGGTGTAGTGGGAAAGGTGCTGGATTAGGAACAAGGAATCCTAGGTTCTCATTGCTCTTCAGCCAGGGAGGCTCCCTGGGGGACTTTGGGCCAGCCCTTCCCTCTCAGCCCAAGAGCCAATCAGGTATAGTGGGGAAGGTGCTGGACTCAGGGCCGGGAGACCCAGGTACTAGTCCCCCTTCAGCCACAGAAGCAACCTGGAAAACATTGAAGGAGCTGGACTAGGAGCAGGAAGACCTGGCCTCTAGTCCGACCTCAGCCACAGAAGCTCCCTGGTGACTTCGGACCAGTCCCTCTCTTGCAGCCCAACCTACCTCAGAAGGTGGTGGTTGTGGGAAAAAATTGGAGGAGGACGCAACTTGAACTCCTGAATAAAAGGGGTAAATCTACCTAATAAATATATATTGGTCATTCAATGAGGCCGGGAGAAAATGTCTTTTACCCTTTGAAAACATAATTGTGAATTTAAGGAGGAGGGCAGAGAAAAAGTCTTGGCCCACAGACAGCCAATTCCCCAGGAAAAGTTTATGAATTATGGTTGGAGCATAAAAGCTCATATTTTGATTGATCACAAAATACAAGTCTGGTTCATATCTTCTGCTTCCCAGTTTGGGATTTTTATAGTATCTGGAAAGTGCCTCATGTCTCATCACAATTTTTTCCACCTTTCTGTTTGGGCCTGAAGTTATGAAATATGAATTATATGCATAAAGAGGAGAAAGTGTGTCTGCAGGTAAAATGAATGTACTATATAACTTAGCAGATGTATGAAGCAAGGTTTCTCTGTGAAACTGATTGCAGGTAGATTCAGAATTTCCTGTGGAACTGTTATGTAGCAAAAGGTGGCTTTGGACTAGAGGAAAATCCTTGCTTACACAAGAACTGGCACTATATTTTCACCAATTTCTCACTTCTCTGCTTGCTGCAATTCTCCCTGCAGTTTCGCACGTGCTTTGAGAAAGTCCACCAACCCCAAGTAACAGTTTTGGGGTGATCACAGAGGCTAGCGGCGGGCATGGGTGTTTCAGTGGAAGTGTCCTGCCCAGCCTAAGTAGAAATATTTATGACTAGGGCAAAGTCTCTGTTGGATACAATACAGACTTCACAGGACTCAGTGCTACAAAATGTGCACTGAGGTCTAACAATGACATCCTAAACCTCAAGTTGTTTATTTGTGGTTCATTGAATACTCACAGTTGGCTAGGTTCAGACAGCAAGCAAAGACATAAATGAGCAAACCATAATATGATTGAGTTGTGTGAACATAGCTTTGCTATCACGGGTGGGGAACCCCCACAGGGCAGTCTCTCTGAATTCCACATCTAGAGATAAGCTGAAATGGAGCAGTTGAATAAACCTTATTTGGAAGATTTCTAGAATGGTTTTGTTACCTACTGTCAGAAGCAAGTACCTGGATGGGTTCTTCTATTTAATTCAGCAGAGTGGTGGTGGTGGTGGTGGTGGTGATGATGATGATGATAAAGATACAATGAACTTTTATAATATACTTCTTTATCCTGGTGATTCTTGTGCACAGAGGAGTGGGACAGGATCAAGTCATGTGTGAATTGGTCTACCACACTGGGCATCCTAGCTGGGTTCACACATTGTAGTAACCCATGTTCTCCATTCTGTGCTTTATTGAATGAGTCATAAATGGGGTTCACACCGTAGAATAAGCCTTAAACCATGGTTTACCAATGCTGGGTTCATACAGTACACTAAACCAATCAAATCATTTTCCAGCTTGCAGTGGTTTGCAGTATGGAGACCCAGTCAGAAGCATTAAAAAAGAAAGAAAGAAATGTAATTGAAATAACACTCTTGATCAGATTTTTTTGTCATCTTCTGTGCAGAACAAAGCCGAAGAGATGACCTAGAAGCACTTGGTCACATGTTCATGTACTTCCTCCGAGGAAGTCTGCCCTGGCAAGGCCTCAAGGTGAGTCCTGTCTCTATGGAAAAATATGCAAATTTATACTAAGCATATGCGTATTTTCCCTTTTGCTACTGTAGGGACCTTACCCTCCGAATATTGTGTTCTTCAGTATGTTTTCCATCTTATCTGGATAGCCTCTTGGAAGCTAGGAACTTAGACATATTTATGATTCCCTTTTTAAAGAACAAGCCAAGGTTCTTGGACCTCTACTCCCTTAATGATTTTCTCGTGGTGGTATGGTTGTGGAACACGCCCAAGACTTGCTTGTGTGTTAAGCGGGTCCGATTTCCGCAGACTGAAATCAATTACAAATGTTAGTTGTCCACAGGTTCACCTTCACGCAGCTGGCTTGACGTCACCCAAGCCATTAAGACACATGCAGAACAGAGAACAGTGAAGACTGTAACTTTGAAAATTATGTTTTCTCCCTATTTGTGTCTAGAGCTTCTGGATCACCCCAGTTTCTTCCATTTGCATCATTCAGGGTCTTGAATGATGATCAGCTGACTTTGTGCCTGTTTATTTTCTTGCAGCGAGAATCACTAGTTTCCATTTGCTAATTGCTGAATCCAGGGGTTTCCACTGGAAGAGACTGGCTTGATTGGTGCAGGCCTTGGTTGCGTCCCATTTAGATTATTACAATTGTCTCCTGGAAGGTGTTCCTGATTCCTCTCCTTGTTCCCTGTTCTGGACCTTCCAAACTATTCTGGTGTCTCATTACATCACACAGCTCTTCACTGGCTTCTTAGTCAGGGCAGACCCCTGTTTACTCATGCTGTTGTTTAGAGACCTTTGGTCACAAGTACCCCAATCTTTGATCTTATTTCACTCTGCAATCCTGTTTATTCCTTACACTCCTCTGGATGGGGTTTTGTACCATGTTTCAGGGTTTCAGTCTCCAGCTTTCTGGCTTTCAGAGACGTAGCCTTGTGGCTCTGGAATTCCTTCCTTCCCTTCTTGTGGAAGTTTGATAGCCTTTAAAAGGGGACTAAAGATCTTTCTATCTGACAAATGAGTTAGTGTAGTGCCTGGTTATCCCAGCCTTGCCTCCTTAATTGGCCATGATGAATGAATGATAAATTTATAGGTGCTTGGTTGCATTGCAGGGTATTTTAAAAACTAGTTTGGATACTGTCTTTGGTTTGTCTTGGCTATTAATATCTGTCTACTGGTTGGTTGCTAAATTGTGAATTAACTGGATGGGATGGGATTTTGAATTACTGTGTTTTTCTGATCTTTACACACCTTAGTAAAAGCACGTAATTACAATAATATGTTTTTGTTTTTATTAGTACACCTTGGCAAATAAATGCCTAGTGCATGTTTTGTGTAATCCTCGCAATTTATCCAATGTCTTGTGGAGCAGTTGTGTTTTTCTTGGCAGGCTTTTCCTAAGAAACACCTGGCTTCCACAGCCTGACCTGACTCTTCTCTCCTCCCTCTTCCCACCCTTGCTTTCTCTTCCTAGGCAGACACCCTGAAAGAGCGGTACCAGAAGATTGGTGATACCAAGAGAGCCACACCCGTTGAAGTGCTGTGTGAAAACTTCCCCGGTAAGGATCACCAGCAATGCAGTGACAGTGTCTGGTTTCAGCTGCCAAGAAGAGAGATTTAGATAAATGAAAGGAGAGGAAGCAGTTTATATAAAAGAGGTATTGTTAGGTTAAGCTTGGTTTGCAGTAAAGAGTTGCAGTGCAGGTTGTCTTTGCTCACAATTCTGCCTGATTACATCTCCTAAAATATTCTGTGCCAACTTTCATTGTCCTGGCTGCAAATTTGAAGAACTGGATTGGAGAAAGCTGGCTTGGTTTTCTCCTCTGTGCCTAAATAACAGTCAGCAAACTTGTGTTCCTAAACATGCACAGTCCACTTTGGACTCTTTCATTGCATTTCTGAAATGTTTTGAATTACTAAAGACTTGGCAGTGTCTCTTGGTAGTCCTTCTGTTTTGGGTGTGGGTGGTACTGCTTTGACTACCTAAGCAGAGGTGCTCTAAATAATAGAAACATTAGTCTTGATGGATGACTAGAAACTCCAAACCCAGCAACTGTTCCCTAAGATAGACTTCGCCTTAGCAGCTGTATCACACTGCTGGAATATGCTTAGCTGTGGTTGACAAGGGCACACAGAGTCCTTTTACATGGAATCCTGCCATGTCCCCCCATCCTATACTTAGGCTTCACATTTTTCCTACCCATATACAGAATTTTAAATTTATTCTTGTTAAATTCTGTTCTATTCATTTCAAGCCATTGATTGGGCCTATCTAGATCATATTGAATCTCCCACTTTTGTGTCATCTGCAAACTTTATAAGTGCCCCCTCAATTCCATTTTCTAAGTCATTGATAAAAATGTTGAATGGCTCCGGCCGCAAAAATTTACCGCCTCGGGGTACGAGCAGGATACGCGGCCATTTTCCCTCCCGTGACACGGTCTGCGGCCATTTTCCGCCCCTGACACGTGGTCCGCGGCCATTTTCCACCCCTGACACGTGGTCC